ACACANACACACAACACAACAACATACACACACACACACACACACACGCACGCACGCACACACACACAATACGAAATTTGTTGACGCCTTCAATATGAATATTGTTCTTAGCGACACCGAGTAGATCACATTTTTAACTGGTGTTCTACATACAAATAACAGCTCTATAGTAACTCACATGCTTACCGACAGTGCTATGGTACTAAGCTACGGAGCGGCCTTAGCATATGTACAACAGACTGCATTGAAAATTGATGACTGGATTCTGAACACTAATGCAACATTGATTCCAGACGCCGCCTATACTGCCACTACTAATAGTATGGACATAACCAACCAATACACAGCTGACCAGTCACAACAAGTGTCTATCTCATGATGGTGTTGCTGCAGGATCAAGTAACTTGTTCCTGTAGAGTCAAATGACTGCATTAAAGGGGAAATCCATTGCTGGGTAGCGATATCATTCGTCTCCAGCATGACCGTAAACACATTAAGTGTACGGGTTAGCGTGTCGAGGTCATGGTTGTTAATAAACTCGCCTGCTTACTATGGGCATCCCAATTCGACTTAAGTCGACTGATCTATCCCTTGTACTTCTGGTTATCCCTGTGGTCTTGTCCACGTTAGGCCTGAAGTAGCTGATTGATGCGATTTTGCTTAATCGCGATCATATTAGCAAAATATGATTCATTATCAGCATGATGCGCATCATGGACGATTTCCATTTTAATGGTGTAATCGTCGACCGATATATTAAGTTCGGTCACCTCGTCAGAGTGGAAATCCTCTGCGGGCTGGTGTAATGCTATGCGATCGAAGCGATTAAACATTAACACGTTTACGGGGGTGTTTATTAGCGTTTACGGGGGTGTTTATTATACCTTGTAAAGTCTATGGTCGAGGCCTTTCGGTGCTCTATCCCTCGGATAGTGGTTGATATTATATTCTTGGGAGATTCATGTTATACCCAGTCTTAACTGGTTTCCGATGATTATCATCCCAGTTGGGTAAAGGTGGCGGAGTATTGTTACCTGCTTCTGGGTCTATAATACCCTCAAGGACGGGTGACTCACGGCCGGGAGTCAAAACAGGCGAGTAATTAGCCTGAAGTTCTGGTGGTAGTACTTCGTAAGATATAGATACGCTAAGCACATCTGGCTCATCTACCACAGGTGCAGCGCTCGAGCCTTTACGCTCTTCGGGCGTAATTGCCTGTCGTCGTTCTGTCCTCTTCTGTCTATGATATGTTTCGTTGGGGCGAATCCGAGAGACTCATAAAATCTTATCTTAAGAAGAAAAAAGGAAAGAAAAGAAAAATACTCCTGATGTCCCTAGTTATTGTATTAACCAATAACTTGCCACTTATCAAGAATTGCCGACTTAGCCTTCATTAGACTGGCACGTCTGGTTGGCTGAACGGAGGATAAACTAAGCAACGCTAATAGTCCTTAGAAACCTATGTTTGGTTGAGCCATCTCGCTACCGAAGTGTTCAGATATAAATAGATTTTGAAAGTAAATATAGTTCTCTTAATAGAACTAGACCAAATTTTATGTTTGGTATTCTACTGGGGCCTTTTATTGGCCTTGTCTAAATATCTGATATGTAGAAATGGAAAAGGTATTATTTTATAAAACCGTTAAAACCCATATAGGAAACTTAAGTTCCTCGTACTATTAAGACTACGTTTATAGTTTACGTACTGCTTAAGAGTACGTTAATAACATAGAGTCTAATGTGGAGGTACGGCTATTACACAGCCCCCACCCAGCTTTGAATTCCAAGAGAGACTAGTTACTCACTGAAGCCGATTTTGGATTTACAAAGCGAGAAGG